TCAAGGAGGACAACTGATTAGCTGTTTCCCTGGTACCGGAAGGGTAGAGCTGCCTTTGTGAAGCACTCAGTGCTGTGGATCTGTGGATGTCATTGAAGGAGGGATAAATAATAGTTGTGTGGATGGCAGATAGAAGGATGAATATATATATGTAGATAGATAGATGATAGAAAGATGACAGAGGAATAGGTGATAAGCAAAAAAAAAAAAAAAAAAACCCTGACATATGTTTGAGATAAATAGGCAGGTAGAAAAATAGAAGATAGATAGATAGATAGATAGATAGATAGGGAAAAATAATAGCTATAGTAGCTATGATGGGCCTCACAATAGCTCAGTTGGTAAGGTGTTTGCTAAGAAAGTATGAGGACTAAGTTCAGTCCCCAGCATCCCTGACAGATACAGTGATAACAGGCCTGTATGTCAGCGCTAAGAAAGCAGATAGAGGAGGTGCCAAGTGAATCTGTGAACTCAAGGCCCAGGAAGAGACTCTGACATAAGCCAGAAGACAGCAGACATCCACCTCTGGCCTCAATGTACACACCCACCCACAAAGCCTAAAGGCCAGGTACGTGCTCCAATGACTCACCTGCTGAGTCATCCCGGACAGGTCTTTGTGCCTTTGCTCCTCTTTCTCCCATCAATACAATGGGTATAAGAACTATAAGCTCAAAACATGGCTTTGAGATTCCACAAGCTGTGGGAGGATTTCAGAAGTAAAAAGTCCTCTGTGTTGAGTGAGTGTCCTCCTGCACATCCCAAGGCTACTGCGTGCTCACAGCATGGGCTTTGGTCACTGCCAATCTAATACTATGAATGGCTCATGGGTGTGTACTCTGAGAAATAGTCACTCACTTTCATAGCCAGAGGTTCTAGAAATAATTTTTATACTACCAGTAGTGTTGTAGTTTTTTGTTAAATAGAAATAATTTGTCCAATATAGCCCCCCTTTTTTGCATTTGTTATTTCTTCCTTGTTTAGCTCAATATTTTTGGAGGATCGCATTTTGTTCCCATATTTAGAGAGGAAAATTTGCAGTTCTTAGGCATTTATTGGAGTATTCACGACTATATCACCAGGGATATAGTTGCAAACGGAACAAAGTCATTGCTTTATGGCTATTCAGGTGACATTTTCCCATAGTACTTTCATGATTTATAGTTGTCATGTGTCTGGGCTTTCCAGTTTGATATACAGACTTGTGGCTGTCGTTCTCCAGAGGTGTGGTGGCTACTATAGGTCAGAAACTGATTTTTTTAATGTTTATATCCCTTTGTTTGAACTAATGTAACCTAACTAGCTGCACACAGCTAGCAGATAGGAAACTGTGGCAACCAGCGAAGTCAAAACACAGGGCCTTAAATACAGGTTGGTAGGTAGAGCACAATATCCTGCAGGTAGGCGGGAACAAAATGGAGAGGGCCTCTATTATGCTCAAGGAAGTACTATGTCAAAGTACCAAAAGTTAATGTTTGAAGAACTACAGTGAGGAAGAAATGGAGGGGTTGCCTTATCTAGATGTGCTGTCTAGATGAGGATTGGTAGAGAGGGAGGCAGTAGTGGTAAGGGAATATCATATTGAAATAATGTTTCAGCCTCATAGGGTGGCAAAGATGGCAGCTCTTTTAAGACAACCCTCTCCATCTGGCTGGAAGGAAGTCCTCACCAAACTAGAGTGTTTCTTTGGTGAATAGCAAGAGATTTGAATGCCTATGAGCCCTGTGGACCCGTGCAGTTTGAAGAGATCTTAAATTATGCAGCATGAAACAGTTTTATTTTGAGTTGTTCAAACTCCTTCATGTCTATGGCATAGAAACATCCAAAAGTGCTATGTGTGAAAGTGTGGCTGGAATGTGGCTAACCAAGACTTGAGCATGAGAGTCCTCCTGGGGCCAGCAGGGGTGGGGCGTGGCCCTGGGAAGGAGAGCTTCCTTGAATATCTGCAACTAAGATGGCATTCCAGCCACCACTGAGCAGCCTACACTCAAGAGGAAATAGCCTGTAGCCCCGCAGTAAAAAGTCTAACAATTGAGTGGGAATAGAGGGATATTAGACATCATGGAATTCTTTTTATTTATTTATTCATTTATTTATTGTAACCCTACATTCTTGGTAGGCAATGTAGATCATAGGTGGTTTTGGAAGCATGGATGGAAACGAATGAATGGTTTCATGCTATACTTTATATACAGGCTCAAGTCAACATCTCTGCACCCACCCCCCATACCTCCTTTCTGTCTGTAATTTTGGCTGGGGGTTTCCTCCTGACATTTGTTCTTGCACAGAGTCTCTCTTCTGAAGAGTACAAGTGCTGGCACCCAGGCCTTCCAAATGTGCCTTTCCAGCCCCAGGCCCATTGCAGACAAGAGTTGCCACCCTTTCATCTGGGAACCCTGGCAGGCACAGAGACTAAAGCCCACAGTAACCTTAAGGCTCCACAAAAATGCTTCCGTATCTTTTCAAATGAGGAGAAAATACCATGACCTTTAAGACAGTGGGGAAAAAATTCTGAATATGTACTGTTTTTATATTTGTTGGTTTTAGTCACTTTTTTTTTATTAACTCCCACAATGTAACGTGCCCTCTGGTTTGTTAAGGCAGAAAGTCAGATAATACTAGCTACGTTGGTGTCTGTTGGAGTTGATGGCCCCAATGACTGCAGCCCCACATTCATCTTCAGGGAATGCTCCTCACAGAGGCATTTGTCCTTCTTCTGGGCCTTCTAGAAGCCAACTTAACCTCCTCTTCTGATTAGAGACGTCACACTTCCTCCCATCCTTCATACCATTGTGGGGTCTCAAAACCAGGAGGCAGGAGACTGCCACTGAGTGTTATAGTCCATCATCATCTTCCCAGCCCTACGTCTTTGCCTGCTGTGAAGGATTCCTTCAGTATCCTGGATCTTGACCTTGACATTTTCTACTGTATCCAAGGTTCGGCCTTGAGAGTGGTGCGCTTACTTTTCATATGTGTACATGGAAGAGCCTGCATCTCATACGTGTTTTAGACCCTTGACCAAAAGAAGGGCTCCACTCAGGCCGCCGTGTGGCACCACCGAAGGCCACACATCTTAGGCACTTGACTACCTATTTGTTTTTCTGCCAAGACAGTTCTGACATCTAAGTTTGAAGGTTCCTTTCTATGGAAGAGAAGCAAAGGAAGGCAGAGGTGTCTCTGGCCTACCAGAAATCACAACGCATGCGGTAAACCTAAGAGCAGAGAAGGTGGGAGCTAGTACATCTCCACGAATCCTGCCCTCTCTCTCTCTCTCTCTCTCTCTCTCTCTCTCTCTCTCTCTCTCTCTCTCTCTGCTATTTGAATTTAGCTCATTAAAACTTCTTTCAAGTATGGCTGGTACTGTGGATGTATTTACCCCCCCCCCCACTCTTTCTTATTGCCCTCCCACTCTTAGGAATCTCCTTGTTCCCAGCGAGGCCCCTCCTACTTCCTGTCTTATTTGTGTGTTTGTGTGCTGTGTGTTCATGGTCATACTGGCTGTGTCATAGCAAGAAGACAGCATTTCATAGGACCCCCCCCCCACCCTCCAGCTCTTAGGATCTTCCCAACCCCTTTTGTTATGATGGTCCCTGAGTCGTGGAAGGGGTGATGCAGATGTGCTATTTAGGGATGGGCACTTAACAGTCATTCATTCTCAACATTTTACCAGCTATGAGTCACTGTATTAATTATTGCCCGCTGCAAAACAAAGCTTCGCTGGCCATGACGGACAGCAGAGCTTTACAAGGCAATCACCGAGAGCCCTCCATTTCTTCTTAAAATGATTTATTCTGGAGTTGATTTTCCCCAACCATAATGTAATTGTACTTCAATCAATAAGAAAAAAAGTCTGTGGAACAACAGGAAGGTTGGGGAGGAGAGAAGCCAGCAGATGTGAATCTATGTTTACTTATCTCTGAAACAATGTTCACATTAAACCAGCTGCAGATGAATTGTACTATAACAGCGTTGGAGAAATAGCTGATGATCTCATAAATTCATGGGAAGTCCTGCTTCCAGTGGCCTCTCTTAAAGTCACAGGTATTTTTGGTAGACTCAGTAAGTACTGGCTTTCACTTAACTGGCACCTAAGGAATTAATTGCAAAACCAGAATGGTAGCCTCCTGCATCCTCCAAGGTTCTGAACCAGAACCAGAAGGGGAACCAGGCTGATGACTCCCGACCTCTGTTTCCTAAGATCCTTGGATCCCAAATGCCGGCACTCTGCTGAGAAGTTCTGAAGACGTGGGTTAATTAATTCACTAGAACCAAGATAAATGATAAATGGGTATTTTATTGGGGAACAGCTTACACAGAACAATAAAGAACCGCCACACCGTTTTCTTTGCCCTTCTGATTAGATACACAACCCAAGAGCAAAAAGACAGAGAGAGAGAGAGAGAGAGAGAGAGAGAGAGAGAGAGAGATCAACTTCACACTTTCCTCTTTCTGCTTCTGTCTACACCTGAAGCCACGCCCAAGGGGGTGTGGCCACTAACATAAATACACCAGCAAGGCTAGATGCCAAAAGTTCCTCTTTCAGTAGGCATCTCCCATCCCAGCAAGCAGCTCCATTCTGAGGCGGCTTGTGTCTTTTCTCCTTGTATCAGGTTTTCCTGGTAAGAACTCTGAGGGGTAGCTACCTTTGGGGCCTGTGGGATCAGACAGTCCCAGGTTCCAGAGCTTGAACAAGCTGCATGACCTCTCTCAACCTCAGTTTTCTCATGGCTGAGTTGGGAGTAGCAAACATATCCCTCCCCTGGTTGCCACTCTGGTTAACCACACAAGCGAGGGCTTAGCACTTGCCTGGCTATATAGCCTATGTTCCACAAGAGGCACCATTTTCTGGCAGGACGGTGCTCAATAACTGAACATTCTGGCCAGGTGCCTGGGATTTGATTGTCATTGTGTGTATAGGTTTGGTGTCAAGCATTGCGATGGCTGCCATGTGAATAAACACCAGGAAGCACGGTTGGCATCTTGCAAACAAAACCAAGTCTTACCTGGGAAGGTGTGGGAGATCTTAGGAAGTGGTTCTGAGCTCGTTGCACTCGGCTGCTGTCAGAGATGAAACAGGTTTGTCAAGTTGAAGATCTCAACCCCTGCAGTGCACATCCTGCGAGCCAGGTCTCTTAACACCCGTCCTTTATCGGATGTTTGATGTATGAAGATGCATTAAGCAAAAGTGAGACACCTGCCTAGAGTACTGCTGAACTCCATTTTCCTTCTGTCAGATGTCCGCAGCGGTAGAGGCTTTGCCCTTCACTAACTGGAATTTCTGAAGGCTTTCACTACCTGTCTTTTTATCGTCTTATTTAGAACAAATGGTATTTTTACGCTGTTTTTCTTTTTGCGGGCTTAGAAAACTCATTTAAATCAATGTAATGAGACACTTTCGACAAAACGTAATCATTCTCACTTCCACGTGTGTTGGAGGACTGCCTGTCACGACTGGAGTGTTGGGGTTACATTCAGCCGATTTTCACACAAGCTCTCATCTTGCTGTGTGCTCTGCCGTGTTCCAGTGCTCCATATAGGTGGGCTGGTTTTGTGTCTGTTGAAGAAATAATAGGAATGCCATTTGAAAGGATTTCTGAGAGAGGCAGAAACCTTAGACCAAGTCCACCAATTCTGAAAAGAACACCCAGGGTCTGAGGTCAAGGGTGCTACTATTTTATTGTTCACAGAAAAGATGTATTTGTATGTTATTTCTGAATTTAAAGCAATGGTTTTAAAGAATTGGTGAGGGCCAGCTTGTTTCTTATAGGGGAAGACTATGTAACAGTCAAAGTTGCCCGTGACACAGTAACTCCAGAGTACCTACAAAAGAATATTCTAACCTGAGATATCATGTGGGGTACAGGTTAAGGAAAGGTCTCTTCCAGTAGCTTGTGACTGAGAGCACTATCCCAAACACAGTTACAGAAAGGTTTGAGGGTCCTTGGGTTGCCGCTTGGAGGACTAGCCTTTGTTTTCTTTAACATACATGGAAGGTGTGGTGGTTTGAATGTAATTGGCCCCCATAAGCTCATAGGGAGTGGTACTATTGGGGGTTGTGGCCTTGTTGAAGTAGGTGTGGCCTTGTAAAGGAAGTGTACCACTGTGGGGGTGGGCTTTGAGGTACCTTTTGCTTAAGCTTCACAAGAGCATTGCCTGTTGCCTTCTGATCAAGATGTAGCCATCACCATGTCTGCCTGCATGCCGCCAGGCTCACCACCACGATGGTAATGAACGGAACCTCTGAACTGTAAGCGAGCCACCCCAATGGAATGTTTTCCTTTATAAGAGTTACCGTGGTTAGGTCTCTTCACAGCACATAGAAACCCTAACTAAGACAAAGGGCTAAGGTTTTAAAGCGCACTTGCAGTAAGGAAGAACCAGCTAAGGTGATGTGTTGCTTATTCATTTGGAGACCCTCCCATTTTGTGTGGAAAGAGCAAAGATGACGCTGAATAATCGGATGTCTTGCAAGGTAGAAGTAGCTTCCTTCCTGGAGACGTAAGACCATTTGCCCAGGCTTCTCCCAACCCCACTTACATGGGTACCTCACTGAGTCCCTGGAACCCCTGCTCCTGAACGTCCTCAAAGTTTCAAAGTTTGTGACTGGAGCAAGAGAAGAATGCGTGAAGTGTCCCACTGGGCTTAGAATAAGGAAGGACCTGAAAGATTAACAGTTAATAGATGTGGAAAGAAGATGGTTAATTATAGGAAAGCTGGGAGCTCAGTACTCTTACTCCATCCCTTCCATTCTTTTCCCAGGTAGATTAAGGAACTTCAGTGTGGGGTGGGGGTGGGGGTGGGGCTGATTTTTTTTTCTGTAGGAGAAGGGAGGCACAGCTAGCATTTTATATGGTGTAATATTTGCTGATATTTTGGTGTATCCAGGCTGTTTTCAGAGACTGTTAAAATCATCTTGATTGTGAGGAGTTGCTAAATGGAGCTGTTAAATTGTGCTTTACGAATAGCGTTTAGCCTTGAAGTATCCGTGAGGTCTGGCATCGTAAATGATAACATCTATTATCTAGATGCTCTATATCCATGTCACACCTAAAGGGGGAATATTAGACTGGGTTTGAATTTCAGTAGAGGCAAAATATATTAGTAATATCCTTCATCGTTAAAGGAGACCTCTGCTGCTGGCAGCCACCGAGTGTGAAATCTCGCCTTGCTGAGGATGTAGCAAGCCAGAGGCCAGAAGTAAAAATGAGAAAGGAGGATTCAGATTGCTGGCGATGCAGCTGATATGTCCTAGTGTAATCCTGTGTGAGCCTGCTCATGTTATTAAGTGGTTTATTTTTGTACATGTGTTTGTATGTGTATTCACGCGTGCCTGCGTGCGCGTGTGTGCGCGCTCGCCTGTGTATGTGTGTGTGTGTGTGTACATGCACGATGCACATGGAGGTCAGAGGACAACTTCAGGTGACATTCTCGGTGATACCTTCACCTTTGAGGCAGAGTTTCTTGTGGGCCTGGAGCTCATCATTTAGGCAGGCTGGCTGGCCAATGAGTCGCCAGGGATCCTCCTGTCTCCGCCTCCCCAGAGCTGGGATTACAAACCGGTGCCGCCACGCCCTCCATTTTTTTAAATGAGTCCAAGGGATTAAACTGGGGTCTTCCTACTAGTAAGGCAATAGAGGTTAGCGAGTGAGCCACCACCAGCCCCACAGTGTGTTTTACCTTATAACTACTGCACTGACCACAGCTCCTGAACTTGCAAACTTGAAGATGAAACTCAAAGAAAAAGCAAAGCAAAACAAAGCATGACCAGCATGATGGCTTCAACAAGTGAAGGTCACTGCCTCCAAGCCTGACCCAAGTTCAACCCCACACGGCAGGAGAGGAGAGGGGTTTCCCACAAGTGCACCACGGAACATACCACCACCCCACCACCCCATCCCTCCCGCATGCACACACACCTGCAGCATGATGATAAATGTAATTAAGTTTTATTTCTGGAGCTGAAGTATAAGTACATCTAAATCCCTGAACTCTGGCTTGAGGCACCTGTGTGGCGTCCTGGTTCTCTGTAGCCCTTCTTGGAGTCACTTTGCTGTCTGTCCTCTTCCTCTTCCCTGCCAGTGTGTTTTAAGACTGACAGTACCCCAAGTGGGAACCGCCACACTTGCTGTGTTTGTCTATAGCCAGAGTCTGCAGAGTCTGGCCCTGCTGAATAGGAACCAAGCCAAGTTCATGGCCTGAAGGACTGAACCCTAAGTCATTGTGCTTAGATACCTATGGGATCTGTTTGATTTTCCTTCCATGGATCCTCCCCTTGATCGAGGCCTCTATGGCAGTATGATGGCTGATAAGTCTCTTCTTGCTGATGCCATTTTCTCCATCTGAAAAATGAGGCGCTTGATGATAACTCCCTATACTATATTCTAGAAAAGGAGCGACAGGTCCAGGGAGCCCCTCATCTTGTCTGTTTCCTTGGCGTTGGGAATGCAAGTGTGCACACCTTACCTGTTTTGGGTTCTGACTTTGGTTCTGGTTTTCACATGACTTCTGGGTCTCGATGTCAAGGCCTTATTCTTGTGACTTTTTTTTTTGTCAGCTGAGCTGTCTTCCTAGCCCTTTCCTTTAGGTTGCTCTTGTTTCCATGGTACTATAGATTCAGACACGCCCAAGTCCTAGTTTCCACCATTGAAACAACCTGTAATCTGGAGAGGACCGCCCACCATGAACAAATAAGTGCAGTCACGTGTCGACAGGGTCACTGCAGTATCTTTGGAATTAAACTGGCACCAGTGGTCCCAATAACACATTTCTGGAAGTAATAATAGAATCTAGAGTGAGCATACGCATAGCCAGCTGGTGAATATTTTAGATTTATGGGTCGTAAGATGTCTGTCACAACTCCTACTCCTCAACTTTGTAACTCCACAACTGTTTTGATGGGATGCGAAGTGTACGTAGACATGCTAAGCAAACGTGTGTGGCTGTGTTGCAATAAAACTTTATCCATAAAAACAAGCCTGGGACTGAATTTGACTCACAGCTTGCCTGCCATGCAGATGTAAGTCATCTCACTGAAATAACCGAGATATACCCGAAACAGTCATCCATGGGAATGTTGATGTTGACCTGCAGTCACCAGCTATTAGTTTACTGCCTCTTTATGAGTAAAGGGGAATAGGTTTGGTTATTGGATATGGGGAACCAAGAAGACATTAAAAATGAGTGTCTGAGGATGGGAGATGTTATAGGTAATGTAAGCGAATTAGAGACACTTCCCTGTCAGACTTCAACTTGCTTGGGACTAATACTGTACAGAGGAAAAAGTAAGGTAGAGCCTTTTATGTGTTACCAGCTCTCAGTGACGTTCTTCCTCAGAGTCCTGAGAGAAAACACATTACAGGTGCAATGTGTTTTAACATGGCCGCCTTGCCATAAGATTGAGTCATGGGTCCATTTTTCAGTAGATTTTTACAAGTATCTCCCTTAGATGATGAACTAAGTTTAGTACTGAATACTAGAAAGAAAGGATAGAAAGATACCCATTCTGACTGGCTGGTGTTCTTCCCAAATCATGACAGGAAATAGTAGGTGGTTTGTGGAAATGACACCAGGTACACTTGCAGCTTGTCACATAAGAGGGAAGGAATAGCATAGAGCTCTGGCAGATTTGATGGTGGAAACTTAATAAATAATTAAATAAAAGCCTGGCGTTGGTGGAGCACGCCTTTAATCCCAGTACTCAGGAGGCAGAGGCAGGCGGATCTCTGTGAGTTTGAGGCCAGCCTGGTCTACAAAGCGAGTTCCAGGACAACATTCAAAGCAATACAAAGATAGCCCATCTCAACTCCCCCCCAAAAAACAATAATACTTAAATAAAAATAAATAATATTGTCACATCATTTATAGCAGTGGCTTTTGCTCTTCTTAATGCTGTGATCCTTTAATACAGTCTCTCATGTTGTGGTGACCCCCACAACCATAAAATGTTTTTTTGTTGCAATTTCATAACTGTAGTTTTGCTACTATTATGAATTGTAATGTAAATATCTGGTATGTGACCCCTATGGGGGTCATGACCCACAGGTTGAGAACTATTGGTTTATAGAAAGCTAAAGTTAGCAGGAAGGGCCTATTAAAATATCAACAGTATTAATTTCTCTTGGCTTTTGGGGCACCTTGGGTATCAGACACCACTCTGGGCACTTTGCCTCCTCGTCCTAGTCTCTTCTCCCAGCTGTGTTTCTGAATCTTGTGATTTCTTCCACTCTAAAACCCAAAGGCATATTCGGGACTGTGCCTTGTTCCCAAGACAGCCCTGTTTTTCCTGGATTCCCCTCCAGGGTCAGGTTATTTCCTCAAATTTGTTCTCTGGGAGACTCTTAAGTTTTTCTGTCCAATATGTTAACCACTAGCCAGGTTGCATTATTATTAATCCCTTGAAACTTGCCCTGTCTAAATCAAAAGATGCTGCAAGTATAAGATACATACTGGGTTTCAGAAACTTGGTATGACAAGTGTAAGCTCTAGCACAAATCCTTATGACTTAATCTCCTGTTGAAGTATTAGTTCAGATATTTTTAACTAAATAAAATAAACATAAATTAATTTCATTTGTCTCGTCCTTATCTTTTTAATGTTAATTACATACTTAACTTACAGGATGACTAGTCCTATGCTAAAGGACTTTTTTTTTTAATGCTGCATATTCCTTTACCTACTTTCAAGTGGTCATAAAAAATATTGCTGTACATGGTGAAAACACTAAACACAATAAAAGATGAAATAAGATGGTGGTTAACTAAAATTAGAATAAGCATTATCTGTGATGTAATAAGATTTTAAGTTGTAAAATGTACATTTAATAAAGCATAAAGTTTCCCAAATAAATCCCGTACAATTTGTATCCCTTAATTTATCCAATCCATGTCAGAAACACTTCAGGGGTGCAGAGTGTTTGAGCTACATTTGCAAGTGATCAGGATCATTAACCTTTACCGGTCTGCCTTTTGTGATCGACAACATCCTAACACCAGCCCACAGTGCTCTAAGCACTGCCAAACCTTCTGCTTAGGAGAAACATGTACAGAATGGAAAACTCAGTAGTCTGTGGCTTGAGGGGCCTAGACGTCCGTCGACAGGAAGCTCTCAGAAGCAGCGCTGTGATTTGACTGTGTCCTCATCCTAGGAGGATGCTGGGTCACTAGGGAGGTGAAATGAAGCCCAGGATCTGCCCTAGTCCTCCGTGTGTTCCCCTCAGAAACCCTGGTACCTTCCGGTGAGGAATTCTCTAGC